TGGATGGGTGGATGGGTGGATGGATGGATGGATGGATGGATGGATAGGTGGATTAATCACATACTAATAATATACAAAATATAAATATTAGACTAAAAACTAAACAAAAATGACAAATGTTGTTTTTGGGAACTAACAGAAACAATCTGAAGCACTAAAATGGCAAACTTAAACTAGATATGAATAATATTAAAACTGAACAAAAACTAAATAGAACTGCAATAAAAACTAAATCTAAATAGTAACAAATAAATGAAAAATAAACAAACAAACAATTAAATAAACAAATATTGTGAAGAAACTGTGAGTGGTGCTTTTCTCAGGGCTATTACTGGTCACTAAAATAAAACTATTAAAAACATTTTTGTTAATTGAAATAAAGCTGAAATAAAATATAATATAAACATTATTTATATTTAAAATAAAAACAACAAATATATTAATAAATAAATATTAATATTAATAATAAACTAATAAAAAACAGAAAAGCACATAACAATAGTAAGCACATAATAATACAATTACTAAAAGTTTAACTCTAATTAAAATGAAAACTGGCAATATAAACCTAAAAGCTCATTCAAAATATTAAAAAAGTAGTACATAAATATAACACTGGCAAGGGTGTTCCGCGTGGTTTACTTGCAAAAGAGTCAAAACAACAACTTTCAAAGATATTACCAAGGCCTGAAAATATGACTTTTTTTTAATTTCTTGATATTTATCTAACAGTAATAATGACGCTTGATGCCTCTCATGCACACAACACAAGTCTTGTTACTCCTGGCTCTTTTGTACGAACACAGTGTGCTGTACAAACCCAAATGATTTCAGAGCCGCATATATGATTTATGAAGAGCCTTTAATCTAAACATTTATTATACATTACGCTGTTATGCAGGAGCAGGGCTCTCAGCAGTGTGGGCTGGTTTGCAGGTTTATATATTCTTCTAATTCATTTGCTGAACAGTGATTCATTACTTGATCAGCGGAGTCATTTATCTGACGGTGTGCTGTGACAGCACACAAATGATTCA